TAAATGTCATAATGGGGAATGGGAGGGGGAACAAACCAAAGCTAACCCAAAGAAAAACTCACACTATTGCAGGCTACCTACGATGAACATAAACAAACAAAAAAACCCCAATCACTTTGTAAAACTTGTCTTGGGTAATAAACTTTTCATCCTCCCCACCTCCCTAAACACATAAATTGGCCCAATCTAAACATCCAAGGTGAAGTGGAGGAAATAAATTATCCCATGTGCAATGGAGCTGAAATTAACAATGGGAACCACGAAGTAAAAACATTAAAACAAGTATGAAGGCATTGGGCAACATTTGACATGCATTCTACAAAGCTCAAATGGGAGCTCCAAACTCTGAGGCCTTTGATTTTATCAGGTGCCAAATACCTCCTGGGAGGTGCTGCGGGCCCTCCGATTTCATTAGCTATAACTAGAGCTAAGGGAGCTCGACAAATTGCAGAATCAGACCCTAAATGCTGCCAATCACAAGCCAATCAAAACATATATTGTATTTGGAAACTGCTTGGTTTAATTGAGTGACTTCCATTACCCTGTTTTCCTAGCAATCAGTAAAGTAATTTTCCCATTAAAAGGAAATATGACTCTTGGAATTAATTCTTTACACAAAGAGCTAACAGGAGTGACATTTACACCAAAATTAAGTCTCTGTAGTAGTGTAACAAGCCATCTACATCTGTCTGTTCAGACGGTGCGGATAATTTGGTTCAATGTGGCTGAATTATCTGAGTACAATACTAGAAATGGAGGAGCAGGTATAATTTTTTAAAATTTTCTTTTTTTGTTAAAGCACTGTGTAAATTTGGATAATCAAGGCTTTAGATAATAATAATAGGAGGAGGATTAATCAGTCATTGAAAATCAGTCTAATTTAAAGTGCTTGCCATTAAAAATTTTACATGTATCAGCAATTAACTGGCTGAAATATGACATAGTCTAATTGTAGGGAATTAACCTTTGCTGTCTTTGATATAACTGTGGAGTAGCTAGAGATACTAATAATATATAAAATGATGCACAAATAGTTTCTGAAATAAAATAAATAAAAACTATGTTCCGTTTGCTGTTAAGTGTGGAGCTCACATTGTACATTGTTCTTAAGACGGTTGTCATCTAATTCATGAAAAAGGTATCAAATCCTCAATTTTTTCAAATTTTAGCACAAATGAATCATCATCCAAAAATTTGCACTAGAGTGCATGATTGATAACTCATTGTTCTCTGGGTTTTATAAGTTTTAGTCATCCAGTCAAGGTGCAAGAACAATACCATTTTACTTAAATTACCAGTCACACATCATAGCTAATCAACAGCAATTAGCAACTAGTCAAAGTTTGCAAACAAGTTGTATCTAAATTTGTTTGTATTAAGTATTCAGTGAATACTAACAAATAAATTGGAAAAAATCAGGGTGTATGTGCAAATTATTCAAAAGCAATAAAAAAGTGGGATGCTAAATTTAATAATTATAGTGGTAACTGTTGATACTGTTGCCTTTTTAATGGTGATCAAGGTTCTGTGAATCAGCAATTTTTAAACACCACTGTTATACCCATCTTAATGCAGAGAGGCAGCAGTGCACATTAAAAGTGGTCTAAGAAAAAATCCCTGTTTTCTAATCCCAGTTTGGACACTGCTTCTTCTGTAGCCTTTGGCAAGGTTCTTAATTTATTTGCCTGAGTTTCACCTTTTTAAAATAGGTATAATAATCCTTATGCATGAGGAGTGTTGAAAGGTTTAAGTGGCTGAGGGTTAAGTAAGTGCTTTGATGATGAAAAGCACTATATAAATGCTAAGTAATATCTTTTGTGTCTACATCAAGTTAACTTGACTAGAGTGCAAGAGGTAAAATTCCCAAAGATAGTTGTTTTATTTTATGAAAGGAAAGGAATGAAAAACTTTTCAGGAAGCAACACAGCATAATGAAGTACTGTTCTTATTTACCCACGTAACAAAGCCTTATTATTAACTCCCCCAAAAGGACAATTATATTTAATAGTTTTCTCTATGGGTCTGGAGGGTGGGCTAAATTTATTATGTCTGGTCACTACAACACTGAAACAAACACTTGGAGGGTTTTCAACTATATGTTTTTGTTCTTGTGCTTAAAAAAAAACAAGCAAGGGAGTAATCATGTATCACTATAAATATACTCTTCTGAGCTGCTACAACCTGACCTGGTGAGTAGTTTTATTTTTAGCTGTATTCACATTTATTTGTTCTTACTGTAACGTATTTGCATGCCTTGATTGTCTGACTGTCATGGGGGACACTGAGTAAATTTGGATAATCAAGGCTTTAGATAATAATAATATGAGGAGGAAGAATGGAATTGGGGTTCTATTCATCATTCTACCACAGATGTCCTGCATGGCCTTGAGCAAGTCACACATTGGCTCTAAATTCTGCTCCAGATGAACTCAAGTAAAACTCTCACTTACTTTGGAGGTACAGGGTCAAGCCCTTAGTCTTCTTGTGCTTCACTTTCCTCCTTTGTAAAATGGGGATATAAAAACATTCCTCACCATACAAGGGTGTTGTAGGGTTAAATCAGTATTTGTAAGTTGTATTGAGATGGACGTTGCTATAGAAGTGCAAATTTTATTTGTTTATTTTAACGGAGGACATTTTTGGTGCAATTAGTAGATATCAGGGGACATGGCCCTGGTTTGGAAAACAAGTTGTTTCAGAAATGGATGTACAGTACAAAGTAATTTTGCAAACACAATCAGGTTTACAACAAATCCTTTCCCAGCAGAACTACTTCAGCTGTGCATTTTTTGAGATTAGAAACTGGCTTGTAGAAAAAATGATCTAGTCTAAAACTATAGGTTACATGCATAATAGAGGCTTAAAAAAATTATTGCTGTTGTGTCTTGTCTGTGATTACTAAAGAAAACGAGCATGAGAGGCAAACAATTATTAACTTTGCCCAGATAGGCTCCTCCCAAGCCAAATAAACAGAAGAGTGGCCAGTGGGGGAAAGGAAAACTCCACAAAATTCCCTTATCAGAGTTTCCTATGGATTCTTTGATAAGATGTGGGGTTTGGTCCCTGAGGAAGGAGGAGGAGGAGGAGGAGATTCAGACCAGAACCCTGCAGATCCCTGGAAATGAGCTGGAGGCTCAGGGCTACCCATGTGGATACCATGCACTTCCACGTCAGCTGTGGAGTCTCGGGGTGTCTACTCCAGCTCCCTATCAACACAGTTCCACTGTGGAGCCATACGGACGGGGCTTTCCATGCAGGCTGCAGAAATCCCTTTATAGGGTAGTTCCACTGTGCTGAATGACTCAGGCTGTATTAATTTCTATGTGGTTTGGGGGTGGGAGAATGGGGAGGGAAATTCATCTCACTGTGGCCCCCACGCACAGAATTCTCCCTCTTTGCCAGCTATCCACACTCAGGTCCCTGAACTTATGGAGAAGCCTCCACAGGATAAGGGGACAGTAGGGATTGTGCTATGGGGGAAGCTGAATCCCTCATCTTTCCACAGGTGGAAGGTCTATTGTGTGTGGATCTGGGAGAGACAAACACATTCTTCATTACTGTTTTTTCAGCTTGTGGTATCCTCCCACTCCCCTCTGCCCAGTATCTGCAGCATAAAGAGACAGACATGAATACAAACCATGGATCTGAACACTCTCAGGTTTGAGAGCATGATCTGGGACCGATTCACATTTGCATTTGAATGCTGCTACTCAGGCCTATCTCTGTTTTTAATTCAAATCTGTAAAAAAAAATCACATCTCCTCACTTGCCTATCCTGAACCCCTAAAAGTAGCACCTGAGCAATATATTTTTATGAAATGGAAACCCTCCATTGTCATCCAATAGCTTACTGTGACTTAGCTGGCGACAGAGTATCGCTGTCATCATCACCCGCACCACCATCACCACATCACATTTTTACTCTTCAAAGCTATATTTTGGGCCTGCTCCTGGTTCAACTGAAGTCAATGGGAGCAAGATGGGCCCTATATCTATTTCTCTAAGAAGCGCTAATAAAATATAATGTTTGGCTGATTCACAATAATGTTCTGTTTGGGATAATTTACATTTTGACTCTGTGGTTTAGATACTTTACTGGCATGCTGTGTTCATTTTTATATATGCTTTATTCCCGTAACAGGGATAAAATTCCAAATCACTTTTCCTCTGTCCATTTGAACCATCCAGACAAGGCTTTTGCATCATTGATACAATCTTAATGTTTGATTTACAGACTGCATACTGCATAGACACACTATATGACAAGTTTCTCAGAAGCGATACCATCCTTTCGTTATACATTGGTGAGTGAGGATTTAACTCTGCCTCACAGAGCAAAATCCTGATTGCCCAACATAAATCTAATACATGACTTGGAGAGTAAAAACTGCAGGAGAGCCTGACTGAGCATCCTTTGAAAGTAGGCATGGGATTTTTAAGCTACAGCATGTGCATATACTACATATATATATGTCTATAGTACATATACATATGTATATTTCATATATGCACAACAATTTCCAAGACAGCTATAAATTTCCACATGCATTAAACTATCTAAAAACATAGAAATAGGCAAGTGTAATAAGTGGAATTTTCTTAAATTATATTTGAACAATAAACAGCAAGAGTAATACTGCAAAGTACCGCTCTATTCTCATTTATATCTACAATAAAATTCTATGAACAGTTGTCTCCCAAAACATACCCCAATAAAATAAAATAAAATAAAATAAAAAAGGTAACACCCAGTGTCCTATATTTGTATATTTATGGTCAGTTAAAAAAAAAAAGAAGTAAAAGAAAGACAAGAATAAAAGAGCCCCACTCAGAGGTGCATATTTACATTCTTCAAACTGTAGCGGTGAAAAATAATTCTATTAAGTGCAGGACATTCCTAGTGTTGCAGTAGTGACATTTTTAATAAGTCTTCATGAAAACATTTCTTTTGTCTTAACAGTGATGCATTCCAGGACTATGTGACAATTCTATCTTCCCCTTCACTTGCAGCCCGTGGTAGAGTCTGGATTGAAAAGCTCCTTGTATAATGGAGGAAACAGTGTATTCACTATATCTGGATGAGATTGCTTAAATACCTGCAGTTTCTCTCCATGCAAGTTGCAAAGTGCAGTAATGGTTGGTATCTTGGCTACTAACTGTAAGGGAAAAAAAAGAGCAAGAAAGTGTTTAGAAGAAAGCAGGGTTTCCAGAATGAACAGAGGTAGCATCCTGCTGGGTGGAAGAGTAACTGAGAACAGCGAAACCTGTTTAAAATGACCACCCCAACTGGCAATATCAAATTGTCTAGAAGAAACTGTCTTTTAATTAAAGGCCAAACACAATTGTCCTAGAAACCTTGGTGTTACTTTAAAGTGACCATTTAAGAAATAGGGCTGCATATTGGAGGTGGTCCTTAATGAAGTCTCATTCCCATAATAGCACCAAATAAAACCACTAATGGTTGGAGTGAAAAAGAAGGACATAAGATAGGGTAGCAGGGAAAAGAATAGCAACTCTCTTTCTTTTTCCTAGAAAAACTAAGCATATAGCTTGCTGCTGTTAACTGAATCAAAATACCACTACATAAACCTATAGAATTTCCTGTGGAAAGTAACATATTTTTGGTCTAGCAGCAGATTTTTGTGCAGTTACATGAGGAGCCTACCTAATTAAAATGTCTCCATTTCCTCTGAATTTACAATTTATGTAATGCATGCAACACATTTCATAGTCCTTCCTCTGGCAAAACTCTGACTGAAATTAATGGGAGGTTTTTTATTTATTTATTTTGTTTTATTTATTTATTTACCAGGACTGCAGTATTAGGCCTTGCTTTTCTGATGACAGTTTCAATATCTTTTTTACAGTGGTACATATTTTTGACAGATATGAAATCTCTAAAAATTACAAAATAAGTATCCTTGTGATCCTTACAGTGGACATGAAAAAAGCAGAGGGCCAGATGCGCTATGCACTCTCCATTTGATATTCTAGAACAATGCGCCTACACTTTTCCCCAGTGTTAGCAGATATGTGTATAGGAACATTTCAGTAAGAAGCCTTACCAACCCAATTGACAAAGCTATTGTCATGGTTCTACTGAAATCTGGAAGGGACCATACTCACTTCAAGTCTTACAAATTTTATTTCTCTTTTAAACAATTACAATTACAGCAACTCAGAAGCAAAATAGTTTGGCCAATAGAATAAAGAATAAATACCAGATTTATTCAGGATGATCTATGGCTGTGAACTGTCAGGGATAACTCAATGCTATGTTCCCCTTATGTGATTACAAATTCCAGAATTTATTACCCCCTCAGTCGAACAACTGAAACAAAATATTATAAAATGGTAACACTTTCTTTCTTACCCTTATTCAGTGGGGAAATATATTAAGACTGAGCTTGCTTTCTGAATTCTTATATTAATATCTTCCAGAGTCTTCTGACTCTCATTCTCAGTGAATTCTTTAAAAAAAAAGATTACATTTTGAATACTGCATTAGATAATCTGGTAATGACTAAATTACCACTTCACCTTTGGCAGCACTATTGCTGTTCCTCCACTTTGAAATCATTCTCTATCAAAGCCTTACTTTGGTTATCAAATATATAAGAAGAATTATAATAGAATTGCTATGTACATGTTGGCAACACTCCTGAATCTTAGGAACACTTGTTCCGTTAATATAGTCATGAACTAGCATGTTCAAAGGATCTACCTTTGCCAAGGTCTCATCATCAAGATGGTTCTTCTGAATCACATGTTGAAGTGCAAAATAAATCTTTTCCTGAAGTTTCTGGACCTTTCTTGGTTCTATTAGCCAGGCTCGATCTGACAAAGAAGAAAGGCAAGGGCTAAAGCCAACAAGAACAAGGAAAAAAGGCTCATCCACACATAGGCACCACATACCATGCTGACAAGGGTTAATAATAATTGCATTATGCTGAGGGACTGCTATGTTATTAACACATGATTTCAGAGGCAGAATATTATAAACTATTATAAGATCACCTGGGAGTTCAAGTCATGGACATGAAGTACATTCTTGCTACCAATGCACTGCCTTTACATGTTTGAACTTGACTATGTGGACTTAAAAAAAAGGACAAATGAGAGAAAGATGTGACAAAATGGACAAACTCCTGCAAAAAAATTAAACAAGGTCCAAGCAATTCATTTATTCTCTGTTGTTTTTTGGTTCATATTTCTCTATTTCATATCTCACAGGTGAAATACAAGTAATGCTATCTGAGCGTCTATTGAGTACAGAAAGAATAAACAAACTGATCAAAGTAGTCACACTGCTTTGACAGTAATAAAATATAACAATTTAAAAATTAAAAATTAAATAAACTAGAGTCTCAACTGGGCTAACATTTTGAGACCAACATTTAAGTCTGAATGAACAGAAATAGTTTCCTTGAAAAGAGTTTCTTAATACTTCAGATGAATTTTTTTGTTGCAACATCTTGAAGTGCAATTATTTAAAAAATTGCAGCAGATAAACTCTAAATTATCTGGGAGAATATGTCTACAGAAATAGCTGCTTGGAAGCTATCTTGCTTGTACTGAAGTCAAAGGCAAAACTCCCCCTGATTTCAGTGAAAGATGAGGATCTATATTCTCCCAACTCATGGCTTCCTGAAACAACCATATGGCAAGTAGTGCAGCAGATCTTGATTCAATTCTGAGTCCATTAATACAATGCATTTACTCTACCAGTAAACTTTTTTTGTTATCATGCTGCAAATCTCTCTCTCGCTCTCTCTGTCTATTCAGACTGAATCTTAGAAATAGTTTTTGGGTTTCCATCAGGAAATGAAAAATCCTATCTTAGTGCAGAAGATGAATTTTACAGGAAGAGCCAGGAGGTGCAGAAGAGCCCTTCCCCCATTCAGATGCTTATTTTTTTTAATTAGAGGCAGAAGTGAAGTAATGGCACCGATTGGATTATTGTAAACTAACCATTAATATAATTTATCATACAGGCCAGATAATAGTGATGTTTCAACATATAATTAACAGGATACTATCATTTTGTCAGGCCCTGTGTGAGGAGAAGTGCATGAAAAGGGTGTAGCAGGAAAATATTGCTGTTTGGAACACACTAGTCTGAGCCTTTGCTGAAAAGAGACAGAGCTGAGGTCTCCAGACACTGAACAGATGCTCAGAGAAAGGAACCTTGTTAGAAAGATAAAGAATCTTGTTCACATAAGGTAAGCAACTGGATTCAGTAACAGCAGAAGCAGCAGTAACAAGATTAGCTAATAGCTTACATAACACCTGCCTAAGTGAGCATACAGTAATATTCAGACTTCATATACTAAGTGCTAAATTTTATGCTGTCATAAAAACATGCACTCTAGTGGATTTAAACCAAGGCCCAGACTGGAGCAAAACAGATTTATCACAGAGGGATATTCCCTAAGGATTTCTCTCTCAATAATAAGCATGGGTTTAAAAATGAATCAGCGTTGTTGGTACAGTCTTTGTGAATTACATTTCGGTGTCTAATACTACAAATTAGGGCTGTTATGCATAAAGCATAACAGTTGTTAAGTTCATGACAAAGAAAATGTCATAGTTGTACATGGTGTTTCAACCCATCTGTCTGTTATATCACCCCTCCCCATACATAAACACACACACTGCAGAAAGAAGAGGCACATACTATTCACTTTGAGATTTGTTTCTTTGTGATGTGGGAGAGAAAAATTGATTGCAAGTGTCTTTATGTCTGTGTGCAGGAAAGACCCATTCAGGAGATGAAAGGTAGAACGATGGGACATTACAGTAGCTAATCTTGTGTCTCTGAAGAGCAGACTGAAATTCCGAGTTGGAGCACAGTGAATATGAGTTTGATAGTTGCTCCTGTTTATCTAAAGGACGCAACTCCCAAACAGCTTACTATACCCAGCCATTTCTGGTCCAGAGAGGCACAGCACTTGAGTACTGTAGTAGGACTGTTGTATAGCAGGACTGAATGCACTAGCAAAGTTAACGGGGAAGCTTTCAGAACACTTGCTTGCAGTTTAATTGTCTCAAAGTCAGGGCTGAGTCACCCACTTTTTTGAGCACTAAATGCATCCACAAATGGTTTAGAAAAAGTAGAAATGAGCAAGGGATTCTCAGTCGACAGCAAATACTGGTATCAAGTAGAAACATTTGGTACTTTCCAAACTATGGGGTATTTAGAGGACCACAGGGATGAATCAGTATTTTGATATCTATGTACCATCTCCCTGCAGCTTAGCACATCTCATAAAAGGCTGCATCAAAAGCAACTAAAGTTAATGGGAATCTTTCCATTACTTCAGCGGGGTTTGGATCAGGCCTAAAGCAGGTGCCATAGTCTTAGAATTATCGGTAGTGTTTTGTTACCAGATCTTGCTGGCTGCCTGAGGAAGTAATTTGCTCTTCCTTCCTGTATTACCTGAGGCATAACATTGGGCAGAAATTTGATTTCACTGAAGTTTCTCTAGCTCCCAAACACATTCAACTGCTGCATTTGCCACACCTTTTCTACGGATGTGCTGTACTAGCCTGATCCAAAGCCGACAGAAATGAATGGAAAGTTTCCCATTGATTTAAATATGCCTTGGATCAGATCCTATATTTCCAAGTCACCGTTGTAAGACATCAAATTGGAACACAACTCTCAATGAAGATTTAAATACAAAGACACAGGGATTCCACCTCTGCACATTGTGAAGGTTTTGTAATATAAAACAAAGCTCGGTTGGAGAAGTATGATTCTGCTCACAGCTCTGCTGCTGTCCTTTCTCCTGTGGCTGAGGAACTTTCCCGCCAAGAAAACATCCTGGAAAAGCAGCTTTGCATCCAGTGACGCCATCTAAGAAGCTAATGGTACTAACCTGCAGCAAGTACTCACTGGATCATCCCTTCCAACACTGAGCAAACTGTTACAGAACACAAAATCTCCTGTAGAAATAACAAGGACCAGAATCCTTGCAGCACATGTTATTATGAAGATATCAAGCGTGTTGACACCATCTGTGCTGGTCTAATTGTATCTAAATTAATCTCCTCCACAGATGTGACAAAGGGCAGAGCAACCTAGAGGAGGCCAGGAGCAGAATTGTGTGAATTGTGTGTGTGTGTGTGTGTAGGGGGAATTTATAGGCATGAAGGAGTTAGGCTCACAATACCCATTAACTTTCAGTGGGCAAGTGCTTTTCCCTAAGGTGCTTTTTAAAACTTGTCCACTAGATTCAGCTTGTGATCTGATCCAATCACCCATGGTCCAAACCCTATTTTTCCTGCTTTTCCATCGACATTCATGCAGCCAGTGTGTTTTCAAACACATAGGTGTGACTATGGGTATTTTGTGCAAATGAGCATATTCCCATAACAATAAACGTATTTCTGACTGGCCCTTGTACAGGTGCACAGTATGGGGAAGGCCCTTGCCGTGCTTGCTCCCATCCCACATGAGAAGCCAGTCACAGTCCCATCCCTATACTCTACCAAAGGCAGAGCGTGTTCCCTTATACCAACCATGAGAGTGCCTGCTGCCTCAGAGTGGGAAGGAAGGAGCTGAGGTCCGGTGCTTCCTGGAATTCAAGAAGGAATATGCCTCCCTGAGGCACAATATCTCTCAGAGGTCCACCTGGGGAAATGCTGTTCTGCCCCACTTGCAATCGGTACCTATGCCTATCACACACAATCTGGCCCCCCATCTCTTTCTAGTGTTCCTATTTTTCTTCTTTCATCTTATGACAGTGCTGTTGAATGTTGAAGAGACAATACTTGGCTCAGATCCAGCCAGTTATTTTTCTATCATTCAATTCAGGTTCTGAACAGCTGGCCAGAATGTTTTGGATAACAGGCAGGTCATAAATCTGCCTACCTGTGGCTCTTTAGGCTGGTGTAGCCATATTTTGTTCTGAGCCTATTTCCAGTAGGTTAACTGCTGTCGATATAATGTATTAAAGAAAACTTTAGAGAATAATCCAGACAATTCTTCAATTACTTAATGTGCCAGTTTGAGTAGGAACAACAGCTGTTTATGCAGACAAAAAAATATGAACAAGGATGCAGTGGAAAAGAGGATTCATCAAAATACTTGGAGATAACTACCTGGTGATATCAGAACAGCAGACGAAAACAACGCAATCTCTTCCTCAGTCAGCTGTAAGGAACATAAATTCTTTGCAAAGTCAAACGCTTCATTCACCAGATCATCAGAACCTACAGATCACAGAGAACAAAGTCAATGCTAGAAATTTATCAGCTCCTTAACCTGCCTTGAAAAACTGCTTGTTTTGATGTCAAGAGTGTGTGTGTGTGTGTGTGTGCGTGCGCGTCTGAGTGAGAGAAAGAAAGAGTGCAAGTGAGTGAGCAAGTGTTCTGGTTAGGTCAGCGCTTTCATTGATTACTGAATTTGCACTCACATGGAAAGTGAAGCTATTTAAAAAGTAGCATTTGCAGTTGCATATCACTAAAACTTTCAATGAATCCCAGTAAAACATGTGAAACACTCTGTCTCTGAAAACTCCAAAGAAAAATCAAGAAAAAAAATGTCTTTTGCAATGTCATTCAGAGATGTTAGCCAAGAATTTTCTTTCTCGTTATGAAAGAAAATCTTGTTTTTGAAACTAAAATGACATCTACAAAAGGAATCTGACTAATACAGAACAGTCATCTCCTACAACATCCCATCAGATACCAATATAAGATAGCCTTCTTAGAAGTTTGGAGAAAAACATGCTATGGGACAAAGAAAAACAGCTAAACATACATGGAATGTTTATATATGATGTATATATTAGCAATGAGCTAAATATATACTAAATACTACCAATATTGAAACCTTCATTGGCTTTGGTCCTGATTGCCGAATGATTAACAAGTTAATTATTCTCACAACCAGAACACTGACATCATTTATAAGGTAACACTACGAGCAAGGTAGCAGTCATCATGCATGTTACATATAGTGATGAGGAATGAAACAGTTGCTCTACCAAACGAATCAGAATGAACCTGAGCTGCGCCTGAATCCTTCTCAAGGTTCAGAGTATTCTCTGAATACTTGGTGCCCCCTCATGACCTTTGTGGGATCCATGCATCCATCCATCTACCTAAGCCACGAGGCCAAAAATAGAGTTCATCCACTTACCCCTTCTGCAATATTCACCTTCCTTCCACACAGGTTTCAATTTTGAAACCATTCTTTTGGCTGATATTACGCACCAGTGCAAATGTCAAGCACAAATGAGGTTGGGATCACTATAGGCCAAATTCTGAAATCTTCATTCATATTTTACTCAGTCCTCATGTGGCACACTGCCAAAGTGTATTTTGCAAACCTCCCATTGCTCCTTTTCTACTAGAGGAAAACAGCCTACTAGTGTTAGCAGCTAATGGAGTTACTTTGTTAGCTTAAATGGCAGTTCCCTGTTCTTCAGTGCTAAAGGTAAAGGATTCAAAAGCTGCTAATGACTTTTTGTTGGGAGGGTGGTTACATTTAGAAAGGTAAATCTCCCACTCACTCCAGAATTTGGCTCATTGTAATGGCTGAAAATAAAAAAGGCAAACCTACCCAAAGCTTTGAACATTTGCATTCCTCCATACTTTCCTTCAAACAGAACAGTGTTGTTGAGTGGGTTGAAGGCACGGCACATTCTCACCAAAACCACTTCCAAGCAGCCTGTTGGACAAGGAAAGCGTATGAAAACTACACACACTTCGTTACTGGGATGTTTCAAGGCATTTTTGAAAGCAGAATGTATTAAATTTCAAAAAAGTTTCTTAGCAAAATACCAATGAACAGAAACAACCTTGGGCACAAATGGTGGGATTTACCAGCGAGGGACTTAAGCACCTAAGTCCAATATTATGTGTCACTGGCATTCACAACACCCTGCTTAGCAGCCCCCTAACCCTGTAGGTGCCTAAAATCCCTAAGGCCCAGATCCACAGAGGTATTCATGTTTCTTACTTCCACTGGGTTCAATAGAAGTTAGGAGCCTTTGTAGATCTGGGCCTAGGTGCCTAAGTTTCCACTACTGAAGTCCCCAGGGTGCCTAAATGTCAGCAGTGGGGTATGTGCACACCTGCCTAAACCCTGACACTGCACAGCAGTTTGGTGTCTAACTCATGCCTAAACCCCAGATGGGATTAAAAACCTAGGTATTCCCCCACCTATTTGGGGTATTGATGTGGTAGACGTGCTCAAAGCATGTTGAAACTCACACAAAACAGCAGGAGGAGGATGTTGTGCCCCTCCTTATGACCTTTAGCCCTCCCCCAGGGTATTGGAGACCCAGGTTCAATTTCCCCCTCTACCTAGTGTGGCGGAGGGATTTGAACTTGGGTTTCCCATCTCTCAGAAAAAATGCCCTTACCCCAGGGCTATGGGATATTGTGGAACAGGCCTCTCTCAGTCTCTCTTGTTGAAGCTGTTCCACTTTGATTCCCAGGCTCCATTCCTGCAATGCCAGTTCATATTTAATTATTTGTAAACAGTTGATCAACTTCAACAGGAGAGATTTAGAGAGCCCTACCCCATAATATACCATAGCCCAGTGGCTGGAGCACACCCCTGTTAAAATCCCTTCTTCATATCAGGCAGAAGTGGAGTTGAACGCAGGGCTTCCCATCCCAGATGAATACTCTAAGCCAGGGGTCGGCAACGTTTGGCATGCGGCTCGCCAGGGTAAGCACCCTGGCGGGCCGGGCCAGTTTATTTACCTGCTGGCGCGGCAGGTTCGACCGATCGCAGCCCCCACTGGCCGCGGTTCGCTGTCCCGGGCCAATGGGGACGGCAAGAAGCGGCGCAGGCGAGCGATGTGTTGGCCGCGGCTTCCCGCCGCCCCCATTGGCCCGGGACGGTGAACCGCGGCCAGTGGGGGCCGCGATCGGCCGAACCTGCCGCGTCAGCAGGTAAATAAACTGGCCCGGCCCGCCAGGGTGCTTACCCTGGCGAGCCGTGTGCCAAACGTTGCCGACCCCTGCTCTAAGCACTGGACTAAAAGTTGTAATGGTGGTTTCTTCTACCACCACTACACCTTCACAAGTGCCAGAAAAAAAATCCATTTTCAGATTTTGTTTCGTTTGACCTGAAATAGAATTTTTTGATGCACTGATATTTTTTAATTTTTTTTTAATATTTTGATTTTCAGAAATGTCAGCGAACTGAAAAATCCATTATTTGCCCAGCTCTACCTAAAAGTTAGGTGCTGCAATATGGAGTGTTGCAGCATGTCCCCCTTGTGAATCCCACCCAAACACCACAACACAACCTACACATTTGATGGTCCTTGGGGCTGGCTGAATTGGTTACTCACAAGACAGCGAGATCTCCTCTGCGGCTGTGAGATCTGAGTGGGAGACAACTTACCCTCCAATCTCTGCCTCTGGCACTAACCAGAGAGGGAAGCAATTCACGATCCAGTCCCATTTCCCTGAAGTTTAGGGCTCCACTTTTGCTAAGGACAATGCAAATTGCCAGGCCATCCCTAATTTCAGTAGTAGAGCTGGTCAAACATTTTCTGATGACAAGCTGTTTTTTTAAAGGGTTTCATTAAACATTTTTTACAATGAAAGGTTTTGAAAAAGCACCCCCAAATTTTTCTATGAAAATAAAAAAATTAGGAAAACACCCCAACATTTTTTCCTGCAATTTTTGAAGTTTTTCAATTTAGAAATTATGGGGGTTTCCACACTTTCTGATAGTTTTCCAATGTTTGCTAGTTTGAAAACTGTAACAAAGGGTTTTCTGAGAGTAAATTAGCTTAAAAGTGGAAGTTCTACTTTTAAATGTAAAAAGTGTTTCCCCCCCTCACTTTTCCACACTGTTTCCTTGATGTTTTCAGTTGGAAAACTGTAAGAAAGTGTGAAACATAGGTTTCCCCCTCTTTCTCATAATGGAAAAAGAGGGGAAACAGTCAGAGGGTGTGGAATGTGAGGGGGAAAATAACACTTTGTCACATTTTTAAACTCTACCACAGGGAAACCAGAATTTCCTCACAGGAAAAATTCAAAGGGGGATTTTTATAGGAAACTGTGGGGAAAATCCCAGAATTCTGGCTAGCTCTGCTCAATATTAGCAGCATGAGGGGCAATGAAACCTTAGCAGTTTATACACTCTGCAGCTAATTAGGGTTCTCTTACAATACATTTTATGTCCAAATGTCATTGAATCTTTTTTTGAAGCGCTACTGTTTCTTTTGCTTTACCAGCCAAATGAATAAGGTTGTTTAATGCAGAAGCTGGAATGTTCATAATGATATTATTAATTATTCTCATGCTAAGATCCTTCTTTTCCAGGGGATCTTCTGAATTCCTGTTGGAGCCCTACTGGTCCTCTTATTTTTCTGCAGTTTGCATCTGCCTCCAACATCTTGGTCCCATATTACAGCCACATCCTTCTGAGCAAAGACTGGATCACACTCTCTCTTTCAGAATTGCCTGAGAGTTCTCAATTGAAAGACACAAGGCACTTCTCTAGCTCAAAGAAACTGCCTCATGCTACATCCCAGCCTCTGCCAGATCCAGGGACCAGGATAGTACAGGGTAATGTAGTTAATAACCAGTAGCAGCTTGTTTGATCATACCATTTTGTCCTACCGAGTGACATGGAGTTATTGCAAGGTCACAATTCCTAACAACTAAATGTCATCAGAGTGCATCTTAAAATGATTATTCTAAAAGAATGGCAGGAATTGCTGTGTGACATGACAGAAAAACGACCCCTCCCCCCACATACACCACAATGCACACACACACACACAACAGTGTCAATGCATGCTGCCACAATCCAACCACGCTCACTCCAGTATTAATTATTGCCAGCAGGGATTTCTCTTACTAAGTACTGACATAAGATTATAGGTATTGCTGTAGCATCATTAAAATGATTAGAGTTGACCAGAGAGGCAAGGTACAGTTAGCGTGGATTTGATTCACTAAAATCAAGTGGCGGTTTTAGGGGCAGCAGTTGGTGATTCAACCAGCTCAGCTCAATAATACCTTACACTGCGTGTCAAACTGTGGCTTCTGCAATTAACAGTAAGTTTTTCTGTAAATGAAAAGCACAATTGACTTTAGAGGGAATGGGATCTGAAGACATGAATGTTATCAGGAGTGCCGCCAGCTTTTCTGCCGCCCTAGGCGGCGGAAGGTCCCGCCCCGAAATGCCGCCCCCCACAGAGGGAGTGGAAGGTCCCGCCGCCGAAATACCGCTACGGTCGCCGCCCCCCAAATTGTAGTGCCCTAGGCGACTGCCTAGGTCGCCTAATGGGTTGCGCTGGCCCTGAATGTTATTAACGCAGAAGATCATGTAGGGTTTACGTGTGTGGGGAGGGAAGGTTGTGATGGGGAGAAGTAAGGTTATTTGAAGAGAGAATGACTGACTAAACCACTCACCTGATTTAAGGAGTAGAATTTGATCATTTTGACAGAGCTCCATGAAGCCTGTTATCCGCTTTGCAAACTCCACTACGTACTGAATAGCATGAGTGATCTGGATGGCACACTGCTGCCACAATGCTTCTCTTGCCTTCCAAAGGAAATATGCAATAAAAAATAAAGCAGTAAGCAAACATAATGTTCAGAGGCAAAACAACACAACGCTGTGTCACACAAAGTGTGTCATTTAGATTTTATAATAGAACTGGTAGCGCCACTTACAATCAAGATTGCCTGACTCTTCTCATTATAAGATCCTATTTTCAGCGCTTTGCTAAACTTTAACTGTTTGGGCTGAAATTTTCCATGCTGGGTGTCTGCCTCTGGCTGAAAATGGTTTGGAAAAATTCAGCCAAATCATGTCAGGCATTTACAAGAACAAGGCTAGTGACAAATACATTGTTTTGCTCACGTAAAATTTCTTTTGAAAAGCTCTAGTGCCTCCATGCTTTGGAGGAAGGACTTGAAATCTCGTACTTTTGACAATCTCACTGTGCCTCAGTTCCTCATCTATACAATGGGGATAACACCCCCTCACCTGACAGGGATGTTGTGAAAATAAATTCATTAATATATGTGAAGCCCTCTGAGACTATAGTGAGGAGAACCATAGAAAAGCTCATGAAGAAATTAATAGTTCTCTTTTCAGAGCAAGGTTTGGCTAGAGTGCAGTAAACAAGATGTGGGCTGCACATTGAACGAGGAGGAGAAAAGAAAATATTGAATAGATGCTCATTTAGAAAGCACTGTCATTCTGTGCACTGGATTTGTCAAGCTCCTGTGGAAAGAAATAGTATTTGAGCATGTAGGTAAAGACTGTATCGTAATTCAGTCATACAAGGGAGGGAGGTGAATTAAGATTGCACAGACTTAAAGCTAGCATTTCCTAACTTTTGAGTGCTTGACTTGGCAACCTTTGTAATGTTTAAACATAGTTTTTTGTGTAATATATATATGGGCTAGATTTAAAAAAGTAACAGAGGAGTGGTGATGTTGACTGTTGCCACACCTATCTTTCAGGTGCCTAGAAAATCCCTGGGGTTCACAAAGCCCGAGTTCAGCAGTTAGTCTCCCTATATAATGAACAGGGGGAGTTAGGCGCCTCAGAGTGGAATTCTTGACTAAGCTAGCCAATGGGAGGTGCCTAGCCAAGGGATGTGTGCTAAGCCCTGCCCCTCTCTTGGAGATAGGAGCCTCCCTCTGTTTGAGATTCTCAGTCTCCCTTTTCAAAGCTATTGCATTGTGGATGCATAATGAAGGAATCATGGGGGCAGAGAGGATAGAAAGTGCAAAAGCACTAGAATGACTCTGTAGCCTGCAGGTTAGAGTAATCATGTGTGAGAGACCCAGGATCCAGTCCCCCTGCTCTAATGACTTTTTAAATTGTTTATCCACAGTGGAACAGCTTCAGCATGAGAGACTGAAGAAGCCCTACATCAGAATATCCTATAGCCTACTGTTTAGAGCAGACACCAGAGAGATGACAGGCCCCTGTTCAAATGCCTTCTATTCTTCAGGTGGAGGGGGGAGTTGAATTGGGGGTTCTGTGAAGCCTAATAGGGCCTGATTCTGGGATTTAGGCACCTAAAGTGGCAGTTAGGTGCCTAAGTCCTTTTATGAATCTATCTATCTATCTATCTCTTTCTAGAGATAGATATAAATTAATGACAACTAGGCAATGTAAATATGCAAATCTATTGCTAGCAAAGGAAATAGACTAATGCTATTTAGTCATCTTGTTGAACATTTCTGCTGGGTTCAAAAACCTTTTCAAAACCATTGAAGTGTAATTACAGTCAGAACAATGACCGCATAAAATTGGGACCTTCTTGTTCAATTTATCACCTTTGTGTGTGTATATGTGCGCGCACAAATGTATCTTTGGACTACATCTGCCACAGGTGAGTTTCAACTTTGATCATCACTGGGGAGCCAACAGAGCAAACTGAACTCTATTCTGCTTTGTCTAAATTCTGATTGCTGAATCATTATTATTGGTGAAAATGAAAAAAGCAGAACTCAGCTTGATTTCCACTGCCTAGGCTGAATTTGAAGAGCTGCAAGTGGGAGAAATATTCTGAACGAATTTGATATAGGAATCATAGGGGGAGAATAAATATACAACCAAATGAAGTCATTTTTACAGCCACTTTTCAACAGTATTACCACACTTTACAGAGTGTGTTAAATTCTGCATTATCTACTGTCGACAGGTGATGGACATTTACTTTCCTTACAATAAAAAACATTCATTTTTCCACATGAAAATGGGGACAGTTTTAACAGTTGTCATAAATATGTTAAACAAATCTATTTTCTGTTTTGAAAAAACTCTTCCAACATATGGAGTCCAATCCTGCTCCCATTGAAATCAACTGGAGTTTTGGGAAAAGATCAGGCCCATGGAAACAAATAATTAATATGGGAGGCTGATTTTATCACCATTTCCTTTGCCCTGACATTATGCTACTAGCGAACACACAAACAAGCTGTTATTTCTATTTTAAAATGCCATTCTCACATCTTCAGTTGCCAAGTTCTTCTAATATCAAACTGCTATTTCCCACCCAAAGGTTTAAAGCTTAACTTGGTATTGATCAACAAGTCCTTGCCAAATATACTGCACTGAATTGCAAGGAGATGGCAAAGCAAGAGAAGGAGTGGTAGGGTATTGTACCTTGCTCTGGTATACTTTAATTTCTTCATATGTGTGGGTCTGCCATGCTAGCTGGTGTAGTTCATCCATTGTATATTGACACGTCTCCAAATGGGACTTAATGATATTCTGTGCAATTCGATCTAAGAAATGGGGGGAAAGCAGAAAGTCATAATGAATAGTAATCTGCAATAGCAAAATTTTGAAGACATCAATGTTGGGGGGGATGATCAGTAGATAACAGTATATTTTATGGCATAGGAGACTGGACAATGTCACATTTATCAATGTGAAATGTTTTCGTATTTATCTAGTTATTGTTTGCGCTGTGGAAATGTTCCTTATTAAATCCAAAGCCACAGGAAATTTGCTTGGTTGTGGATTACAAAATTAAAAATAGCCAGCCTTTGGGTGAAAATATACCCAGTTAAAATTGAAAATGAAAGTTTTATCTGTATCTGGATAGGCACACATTTTTAGAAACCCAGGATGGTATTTTGAAATGGATTTTGAAATGGAGCAGCAGCAGCAAAACCTCATACACAAATGACAATGTATTCCTCAGAAAGAGGCAGTACATTCAAGGTGCTGTAGCCAGACTTGGGCATGGGAGCGAGGAGGACCAGGAACAGCATAGCTTCTTCATCATTGTCTACATCACTCTCAATCTCTCTTGTTGCAGCTGTTCCACTTGGTCTAAATAATTAATTATTCACTGGAGCAGGGACTGGAATCCAGCTGTTCTCCCTCCCAGATGAGTTCCCTAACCACCAGGCTACAGAGTCATTTTCTCACTCTCTCTCTGGCCCAATTAATACATAATTATTTATACAAAGTGGAACAACTGCAACAGGAGAGATTAAGAGAGACCCCACACCTCAATGGTTTGATGGCTAGCACACTCATATGGAAGGGAGGAGATTTGGGTTCAAGTCCCTGCTCTGAAGCAAGGATTTGAGCCTAGGTCTCCCATTTAACAGGTGAGCATCCTAACCACTGGTTGTTAGGGGATAGGGAGTTAGGGGATAGGGAGCCACAACCACTTTGTGAATGGTGCTTAACGCCCCCTGTGACTCTAATCCCAAAATCAAAATATTTCATTTTGAGGTTTCCTTTTTTTAAATGGAAGCAATTCACCAAAATCAACATGAACTCACAAATATGATTTGGTCAATGTGAATCTGTATGTTGCTGTGAAAAAGAGTTGCAGCCAAAATCTTTTACCCAGCTCTAGTAATAACAACAAAAGGGCACATTAGTGACTGCGTAGGGTCTATACCATATTATTGTCCAGGAGGGAGAGGTGGAACCTTTGTCCCAGGGTACCAGGCTGCCCTATTTTGTGTCACGAATAACCTACTGTATATCTGGTCATGCTGGGAGAAAGGGATGAAAAAGAAAAGCCTGGGAAGGGAGTAGAGAAGATACAGGAAAGTAAGAGAACGACAGCAGATAAGTCAGGGACTTGGGCTAAAATCATCATACAGATTAACGGCAGGTCTCAGTGCACCCATCCCTTGTACATACTATGAGTGGAAGGGAAACCACTTTCCTCCACTTAAATCTGTCATGGCAAAAGCAGTAGTTTTACTAGCATGAAGTGATCTGGGTGCCTAGCAGCTGTGGAGTGGGTTAAAGCAGACCGTCAGTCCTGGCTTGTTCAGGGAGTGTTCTGGGGGAGAGGAGGTGGATCCCATTTATAGTTTTAGAAGGAAACCATATGAAAATTGACTTGTTATCATGGTTTTACCCAGAAATTAGACAAAGCCTAGCAGGCTCAATTTAAATATTTCAGGTTAATTCAATCTCCAAATTCAAATTATAACTGAGTGGAAAAAAAATTCTCCTCTTATTTACATGTGTAATTCAGAGCTACTTCAGTGACTTCAGCTGAGTTACTGTGGATTTACACTGGATCAAAGCACAATCCAGCACAAGAACATTTATCATTTCCCAAGAAATTGCACGGTCCATTTGCTGTTGCTGTACAACCAAGATGTTAGAAAAAATTTCACATACTCTTTGGTCAGGTTCAACAATGAATTAATCTAATATAAATTATACTTAAAAATAAACCAGACTAGAATTACTTACTCATGTCTATAATATGTTTATAACATTTACTAATCATTTAACTCTTTCTAAACCACTTTTAAATGGAGAGTTAATAAACAGTTTGACCATTATATAAAATATATAAATGTGTGTGTATACAATATGTATACACATAATATATGTGCTTGTATTTTACACACACACACACACACACACACACACACACACACACACACACAACTTAATAAACAAGATGCTAAAAGATTCCTACATGCCACATGGAAAAAATAGCTCCATGAACAAGGAGGCCCAGTTCTGTCCAACCACTGGGCAGTATACAGTGTAAGACAGGGAAGAATTTGCCCCAAATTTCTGGTTTCATGTTAAAATGATGTTAACTTAGCTGAAGCAAGACTATGAAAATAGGAATTTATAAAATATGCCTCCCAAAATCTCCAGGGCATTTTTCAGGACTGAAAATTATTTACTAAGGGTGTGGCAAGCGCTAAAGATTTTATTGTCTCTTCCCCTCTCTTAAGGGAATCAGAGAAGGTTGATTCTTTTTTTAAAAAAAAAGTGATTCAAAGAAAACAATTTTATAATTTTTATAATAACACAAATCTGAAAGATTGCTCTGCTCATAAATAATCTCAAAGCACAATCACGTAAAAATGCTTTAGATTATGGTTAAAAAGAATCCCAAATGGAGTTATCACTAAAAACTAGCAAGCTTCCATTTAATCCTTATTTAACTCACTCAAATATATCTCTGTGTTGCAGCAGATGCAGTCCAGGCTAAAAGATCAATCACTGAATTTAAACTCCAGCAATGTCTGGATGTAATGGGGGTGAGTTAAGGAGGGAGTTTCAGCCTGAACTCTGAACTTTCCTAAATCCTATGAATATATGTTCAGCCCTTATTGTCATTAAGATATAACACTGAATACATTAATATTAAGGTAATGAGAATGAAGTATATGATGTTTGCTGGAAACATATTGAACCATAGCAAACCTGACTGCAGAAATTAAGCTCAAGCTGAAGGGTGTGTTTATGCTGAGGAGGATTTAACCAGATGGAACTGAAGTGCAGTCATAGGAACTTTTATGTTTTTTTAATCAAAATATCTGACAATGGAAAAATAATTTAAACTTGCATTGCATTTTTCCACACTATGTTGCAAACCATGTTTTAGCCCCAAGCTCTTGGGACTCGTATATTCGTTTCCTTTCTACTGACTCCAGATCCTTGCTTACAGTTTTCATCGATTCTTCCTACCCCACCCTCCACCTTTCTTTACATGAAGCAAGAATTATTCATACTCTTGATATAAAGAAAATAAAAGACCATATTACTGCATAGCTGGTAGAGGAGGTAGCTTATTGTTTTTCAGTCAGAATGAGGCACACTGAAGGTGAACAATGTGAAAATAATATACACATGCTTTAGCATAACTTGCCTTGAAATACACTTGATTGTTACAGCTAACTTATGGTACCCACTCACATCACTGCTCTCTTATTCTTGTACTTCCTATTTATGTATTTACTTAGGATGAGCTGGTTCTGCTGCAGATCATATGCTCTTCAATATTTTGTGGGGCTGGCATCCAAGCGATAGCTCTATACAGCTGTACACAGAATTGTTTCCCATATACTAATTGTTTCTTGAGCTGATGTTAAAACCCATCTAGGTGTATGAGGGCCTAGGGCCTAGTACCAGCAGAAGTAGCAGCAGCTCTGCATGCTGCCTTCCAAAATGAACCAGGTGCAAAGACAGACTTGAAATTCTTGTGCTGCAGGCCAGCTAAGTCTGAGTGTATCATGGAAAGGATATGCTTGGTCTCTAGGGAAAGGAGCCTGACAGCTCATTCCGTTGGCTGATTAGAAAGATGCATAAGCATCAGAGGAGACTGCTTGCCTGCTTTCAGAGATGGCAGTCATGAAAAGGAAAAGGGGATTAGTGTTAAAATGGCAAGCGTTGGGCTGATGGGTCTTGCACAAGCTATTGACAAGAGAGAGATGAAAAGTAAAAGTATGGGCTTTCTGAGGGACAAGCAAAATAAGATACTTCAGGTAAAAAGAGCAAAGGGTACAGAATATTTTCTTGTCACAACACTCTAAGGGCATTACATCTTTCTGGGCATTTTTGGTGTCTTTGCCTTTTAGCAGGTCAGTCAGGGGAGCCTCAATTGATGCAATGTTGGGGCTGAACTGGAGATAATATCCTGCCAGGTCAGTAAGTGGCATGTCTGTCTTATGATCTGGGGTGTAGGGTATGAGTTTAATGTATGGATTTTATCTAGCATAGGTATTTGGAGGCCTCTACTTACCTCATTATCCTTTGTACCAGTGGAATGGTGGAGTGTCCCATCAAAAAGACAAAAACCAACTGTTTCAGCAGTGCTGAGAAATAGAGATGCTCATATAGCAGACATGATAGCTCAGTATGAAACAAACAGAGCTGGTCATAAAATGGGGGGAAGGGTCTAGTGGAAAATATCGACTTTTTGGCAAAAAAATCAAACTGAAATATTTTAGCCAAAAATAAACATAGTTCAATGCAATAATGCTGCCACGGTGCCTCATGAGAGTCGTAGTTTGGGGGCTTCATCTTTCCATTCTCCTCTATAGGCTAGTCTCCCTGGTCACTACATCTCCCATGATTCACCCTGGGTTCCCCTTGTTGAGACGGTCCCAAATTATTATGAATTGCTGTGATTGATTTGAATGCATGTGATAAGCATGAGTTTTGGATGACTTGGTATGCCTGAACTTGCTAGAGGATTCTGGGAGCAGAATTCTCTCAGCATTAGATGAATGACATGGAAAACTGCTGGAGGTGCTGAAACTGCACTTAAATGGTTAATAATGGCTCAATGGGCATCTATGTTTCAATACCGAACTTTGGAATATATTAGCAGAGAACCAGCTCACAAGGTAAAAAAAACACATCAAATCATGATATCGGTGGGCTTGGTGCTCGCTGACATGGGACAAAATGACCCTTTTTGGATAACATCACGCTAAGAGCTTAAGTGAATGATTGATGAGAGGGTAAACGTTGATTGAGCTTTGGTCTGGGTTTG